CTCTCCATGCTCCATGCTATGGCCAGCAGGTCCAGTGCATGGGACGTGCTCTGCAGACAGAACAGCAAGGGAAGGGGAGTCCTACAGAGCTGTTGCTCTACAAACTCCAGGCATAAATCCCCCATTTACACAGATGACTACACGTTCTGGGGACCCACTGCCACTCAGGGTGCCTCCAGCAGCCCCATACACCCTTGGGGAGCAATGGCCTGAACAAAGACCTCCCTGAGGCAGGAGGGGCTGAACCCACTGCAGGCTGCACTATACAGCTTGTGCCCACCTCCCCTGCTGCAACGTGGGGTGGAACAGATGTGACATCCACTGTGGGGATGTGTTGCTGCTGGAGGAATTTTGAACCAGGAAAGGGCTGGGATCCTTCCTCAAGGCTCTGTGCTGATGGATCCCTGACCTGGCTCTCCTGCGCTACCACTGAGCCCCAAACCTGATGTGAATTCCCCCACCCCTGCGATCCCAAACACTGCTAAGCACTGCAGCTGGCAGAGATGGGATTTTCCCAGCCCCTCCCAAGAGGGTCTTGGGGATCACTGAGTGGCTGCAGGGACCAAAAGTTTGGGGACAAGCTCTATCTATCCCCCTGCTGCTGCCCCACAGCTGGCTCCTGAGCCCATACTCCCATGGTATCACACAGGGGCCCAGCAGGGTAAAGCACACAGCTTTTGAAAGTGGAAAATGCCAAGCTCCCAGCATTGTCTGGGGAATTCCATCCTCAGTATCCCCCTGTGCTTGTGCCCCACCCTGCTCCCCTTTGCTTTAGGGGAGCAGGAGGCTCCAAGGTAAGATAGTGCTCACCCTGCCCTGCTCCCAACAGCAGCTGCACAAGGTCCTCTGGGGGAGGGAAAACCAGACATCTCTTCCCTCGGTAAGGCTCTGTCTGAGCCACCGATGCATATTTAAATGCACAGGAGCATCTAAGCTTTTCTCTCATTCCTTGACATTTCTAGAGAGTCCAAGCTGTCTTCAATTACCAGCCTGCAATTAGCTCTTCCTAAATCCCCCAGCGAGGCCTAGCACTTTTAATCAATGAAACACAAGGGAGGAGGGTAAGGACACGGCCTTGCTGCAGCTGGAAGCATTTTAAAAGGCTGGAGCTTAAGGCTGGAAGGACCCTGAGAGCATCTCTGAGGGGATCTCTAGGGTGAGAAACCTCCACCAGAGCTGGCAGGTCATTCAGCTCTAGAGAGGAGACTCTATAAAGCCCCACAGCCAGGGGTATAGGGTGACTGGACAGGCTCAGCGTGGAGACAGCTGGCACCAATGGCTTGGGTGTTAGCCTGTGATGCTGTGGACTCCTCTTGCTGAATTGCAGCATGCTGCTTCATCTCCCTTTACCTCAGTTTCCCTCTCTGCAAAATGCTCACCCAGCATTCCTATAGGAGCTGTAAGCATCCAATTCCATCTCTGTTTAACCCAGAGTCAGAGCTACTACCCTCCCCAGAACCAGACATGGATATTGCCAAATTTGGGGTAGGCCATGAGTACATTTTGGCCCAAACAGCTCACCACAAGGTTACAGGAATGTCACTCCAAAGGCAGGGAGAAGAGCACCCATTATGGACAGGGAAGAGAGGAGCAGCATAGGTCTCAATGAGTTCATACAGCCACAGAAAAGCCTTGCACAGCACCCTGCCAGGTCAGCCCCCGTCACAGGGACATCTGTGCTGTCTTCCTGGCAGTACAGCTTTGCCTGAATGAGCCAGATTGGGCCTAATTAGCAGCTCTGCTGATGCACACAAAGGTAGAGAGAATCCAGCTTACCCTCCATGACCTGCAGAGCCAGCACAGCTCTTCCCAGCTCAGGAGAGCCTGAGCACCCGGCTCATAAAGGCTGGGGAAGCACCGCACGCAGATCCCAACAGGACAGTGTGTGCTCTGGAACCTGCTAAAAAAGCCCTGGCAAATTCAGTAGCCTGAAAGCATAGCAACCAGCTGTGAGAAAGGAAAAGGCTGCCCCTTCTCCACCCCACTCCCTGGGGGTCTGCAGAAGCACAGGGCTGGCAACCAGGCTAGCAACACAGTTCCCACAGCTTGCTGCTGCCAGGGAAGGGAGCCCAGCCCTGCAGAGCAGATATAGGAAGGAAGGAGGGGTAGCTTTGGGACAAAATAAATAAATAAAATAAAATAAAATGGAGGTGTGACATCAGCTGAGGGATCCTCATTAAATGCAGAGCAGCAGATGGGCATCAGGCATTTCTGTCTAGAATGGAGGAGGCCAGGATAGCTCATAGGAGCACTCAGGTGGACCAGGACTGGCCTTGGGCACAAAAACCAGGGGTGAAATTCTGACCCCCCAACTCTCATCAGGGAGTAAAATTCCCTCTGAGAACCGGCACCCCTTCTCCCTCTTGGGGAGAAGAGGGGGCACGGCTGGGAGCTTGGGGCACCTCCCCAGTCCCCCTTGCACCCCACAGCCCAACAAGTCCATGGAGCCACCACCAAGCCTGTCCAG